AATCGAGTTTTACAATCAGATGGGAACTTGAAGATAAAAACTTCCTCAAAATAGACATTATCTGTTTAGATGACAGTTTAAAGTATCGGATTATGGCGATTAAAACAAATGAAAACTTCATACCTTTCTCCAACAACGTGACTTTCAGGAAGCCTCAAGGGACGGACTTGGTAACTGCTTCTGAATTGATACCAGGCTTCTGTCGGTCAAAGTCAAATGTCCCGACCCCGGGGTCGCTTCACACGATCAAAAGCCCGACAGCGGGGATAGTCCCAGGCATCAAATCCCCTCCCCTTGCCCGCACTCCCCCCCCACGGGATTTACATTGATAGGTGCATAATGTATCAGAATCGGGATACATTTGATTTTAATCAAGGCCACGTGACCAAGAATCAACTAATGGCAGTCCCTGTTTAGTTGAGTGAAAGTCTAGGAATATAACAATATATTGTAAACAAACTCGATAGCGTTTTCTTGCATCGGCAAATTTTTTCACTTGTTTGTCCCCTGGGAAACCACATGACATTTCTATAATTTCGTTAGTCCTTGAGTGCGTGCAAAGAGGCGGGTATCGTAAATAAGGTCTATTACAAAACTATTACAATATTTGTTGAATGTTGTGATAATACAAACTGCAACAGCATGAATACATTTATACGTACTCATTCTCAGTCCCTCTGTTCTACTCTATAGCAATATAAGGCAACATAAACGGTCATAACACGCTGAATGATCACCACCTTGTAAAATTAATCTGCGCATGTGCGAGTTCAACATTTGTTATAGCGCTTCATTCCAATCCCGTCCCTAGAGCCCTTCGTTTCTTTTAGTCACGTGGTCTTAGCGGGGTGGCTCTGGGGACGAGCATGGCTTCATTCAGCCTCGACATTTCACGAAAGAAAAACAAAGTTGCGCCAAATGTTAAAACAATTTTATGAGGATCTGTAAAGTTATCCCGTCGGCACGCAGCAAGCTTACAAAAATTGTTTTTCTCCCGAAAAATAATTGGAAAAATGATTTTTGTGGCCGAGTCGAGCCGGGGTTTAATTTTCAGCACAAAGTAACAAAAAGAGAAATTACCACAGTCTGTTGGAACAACTCTGTTATTTCGGCGACTCGATTTTCTGCCTTGATCGGCTTGTTTTCGTGATTTATCTAAGACTCGCTCTCCAATGATAGAGACGCTTAAGTCATCATCGATCAGCACCGATGATTTGATCTCCTGAAGGTCGTTTGGTCTTTCTTCTTCTGATTGTGTTTCAAGACCAGGAAAAGGGTCAGTGTCCGGTGTTGTGGCACTTGGGCCCGAGGTCTCTTCAAATTTTTCAGCAGCTGACAGCTCTGCGCCTTGCTCAAAATTCTTATTCTGTGTAAATAAAAGAGATCCATTCAACTAGCTAATGCGTTTGAATTTTGAAACAACCGCAGACACTTGGCGATGCCACCATTGGTTTCCCCGCCGAATGACGCTTGAGAAACGAGCGCAGAAATTCCATAACGTGGCACTAGCCAGATCTCGGTAGTGCTTCTGATTGGTCGTGCAGCGAGAGAAACTTGCTTCAACCAATCAAAAGTACTACCCAGATCTAGGTGGAGTCACGTCATCAGTATGGCCGGTATTTCTGCGCTCGGTCCTCGAACGTCATTTCTTGGGGAAACAGGGGGTTTCGTTGCGAAATGTGGGAAGCAGTTTTCTCACGCTGGACTCGGCATATATCCTAAAGTTTACCTGCGTTTTAATTATTACGTCAGTCTTTTCCTTGGGTTCGTCTTCTTCCTCCTTTTGTTTGTCTGCTTGAGGTTCCTGTTCGGATTCTCCAATAGCACAAGAAACATTCAAATGCAGTTTTGTTGATTCACCACTAGATTTTTCATCCTCTGAGACATTTTCGTGAGTTGCACTGGCTACTGCAATATCTTCAACAGTGTTGTCGAGCGCGTAGTTTTCGTGCCGATTTATGAGCTGGAAAAAAAAGATACGTAATGAAAATACGTCTCAGGCAAGCGAGCAAACATTGACGTTAAAAAGGTGAAGTAAACGGAGAGGGTATTTTGATCGAGTAACAGACTAAAGGGCCTGAAGATTAAAGACGAAGGATTACACGAGCTGCACGTCATCGACGCTACTTGAAAAAGAGATATAAGTTTTTTATTTTCAAGCCAATAAAAACGCAGTAGCATTCATAAGCGGTGTGAGGTGGAGATAAAACTGACATGACCTTAAATGTTCAATCTGATCGGAATATAAAAGCCTTAATTGTTCAGGAAGCCTACTTGGATATCCTTTTTCCCAGGTGTAACGTGCGCGACCGCAGGTGGAAATCCGTCGTCATTCTCGACAAGTACTTTTTCGCCTTCATAAAATTCGTTCGAGAAACGGTTCGTTACACCCTTCAAACTTAATTTTTACGTTATGATAGAACTAGCGGGACATCCCAATCGGTGGAAATTCGCGGTGGAGATAGATAACACACGCGGGTTAAATAAAAAGATCTGCACATCCTTCCTTCGCCCTTCACCTGTCCTCTTGGTGTTTCAAGACCAGGAAAAGGGTCAGTGTCTGGTGTTGAGGCACTTGGACCCGCGGTCTCTTCAAAATTCTCTGCAGCTGACAGCTCTGTGCCTTGCTCAAAATGCTTTTTCTGTGTAAATAAAAGAGATCCATTCAACTAGCTAATGCGTTTGAATTTTGAAACAACCGCAGACACTTGGCGGTGCTACCACTGGTTTCCCCGCCAAATGACGTCTGAGAAACGAGCGCAAAATTCCATAACGTGGTACTAGCCAGATCTGGGTAGTGCTTCTGATTGGTCGTGCAGCGAGAGAAACTTGCTTCAACCAATCAAAAGTACTACCCAGATCTAGGTGGAGTCACGTCATCAGTATGGCCGGTATTTTTGCGCTCGGTCCTCGAACGTCATTTCTTGGGGAAACAGGGGGTTGCGTTGCGAAATGTGGGAAGCAGTTTTCTCACGCTGGACTCGGCATATATCCTAAAGTTTACCTGCGTTTTAATTATTACGTCAGTCTTTTTCTCGGGTTCGTCTTCTTCCTCCTTTTGTTCGTCTCCTTGAGGTTCCTGTTCGGATTCTCCAATAGCACAAGAAACATTCAAATGCAGTTTTGTTGATTCACCACTAGATTTTTCATCCTCTGAGACATTTTCGTGGGCTGCACTAGCTACTGCGATATCTTCAACACTATTGTCGAGCGCGTAGTTTTCGTGCCGATTTATGAGCTGGAAAAAAAAGATACGTAATGAAAATACGTCTCAGGCAAGCGAGCAAAGATTAAAGACGAAGGATTACGCGCGCTGCACTTCGACGCTACTTGAAAAAGGGATTTTTTTATTTTCAAGCCAATAAAAACACAGTAGCATTCATAAGCGGTGTGAGGTGGAGATAAAACTGACCTGACCTTAAATGTTCAATCTGATCGGAATATAAAAGCCTTAATTGTTCAGGAAGCCTACTTGGATATTCTTTTTCCCAGGTGTAACGTGTGCGACTGCAGGTGGAAAGCCGTCGTCATTCCCGACAAGTACTTTTTCGCCTTCATAAAATTCGTTCGAGAAACGATTCGTTTCACCTTTCAAACTTAATTTTTACGTTTTGATAGAGCTAGCAGGACACCCCAATCGGTGGAAATTCGCGGTGGAGATAGATAACACTCGCGGGTTAAATAAAAAAATCTACATATCCTTCCTTCGCGCTTCACCTGTCCTCTTCGACGCGTTTTCAAAAGTTTGCGTTTCCGTTTTCGTCGACAACGCATCGATCGATTCGCGTCCACAGTACCGTTTTGATGCGTTTTCGACTCTATGGGCATGTCGATGTGATCCACATGACATCATTAATTTCATTTTGATGCCGTTTTTAACCGTTTTCGATCGTCCACACTGATACGATTTGTATACCCATTTTTTTTTATCCACTGCTTTCAACAGTGTTTTCAAATCGATGCGTTTTCGGTGAAAACGCTCAGCGTATTAGCGTCGACGGAAGGCCAAAACGCGTCAAAATGTACGCGTTTTCAAACGAAAACGCGTTTGTGTGGACGGGGCCTAAGTCTAATAACGAGCCACTTATCTACTTGTCATGGAAAATTTATCGGCCCAACATGAGTCAAAAAGCAACTTATCCAATCACAAGCTCCTACCTCTAGCGGTTCGCAGATGTCGTCCTTAGGAAGCTGAACGTCCATTTCTAACTCGTCAGCCATCTCCGGGACCACTGTTATTTTCTTTTTAGCTTTGCTACGGACAAATGCCGCCAGTAATATCACCGCAAGAACAGCTCCAAGGCAAGAAAGAACTATGACCAGTATCGGGGTCTCTGACTCAGCTGTGTGAGGAAAAGTTCGAGTTAAATCGAATGAAGCTCTTTGCAATTACACCCATCTTGAAGAACAATCTAAAAACTGTTCAACACACTTTATTTATTGCTTTCATGAAACACATACAAAGTCTGGTATACCCGCAGCTAGAAAAGGCGGTGAAAGATTTTGACAGCATGACCCTCCTAGATGTGTGTAAACGACTTGCTCCATTTCTGTGCCGTTGCTGTTGTTCGTGTCGACACGAAAAGGTATTCGGTATAGTGTATACATAACTCAAACCTTATGCATAAGAAGCTAATTACCTTCACAACTGTTCTTTCCAGGGCATAAGGTAGTTGTAGCTTCATATCTCTCCTTTCCACCAAGTGGTACATTGTTTATGAAAGGATAAAAATAGATACTTTCCTTTTCAGCGCCTGCGCAGCTCAACACAAACTCATCACCAGTCCCATAGCTCGTTATCGTCGTGGTACACTTTAGGAAGGTCATTTGTTGTGGTTTGTTCCTCGGCGCGTACTGAACTAATACCCTTGTCGGTTTCTTGTTGTCTCTCTCGATAACTTTAATGGGATTTCCAAAGCGATCTCTGAGTACCACCACGAACCCAAACGATCCTTTTGCGGTGGTATCTGTTTTCACGTCTTTCACTAAACTTTTCATGGCGTCTATCGGATCTACAACGCAAAACATGAGATTTAATTTTAGTCCTTTTTCCTGCCTCTTTGGTTAAATTACAATTGCAATACAACTTTTTTATCTTTACGTCGGCGAATATGTAATTCTGAGCTGGCGCTAAGTCGGGGCCCAGTTGTTTGAAGGCCAATTAGCGCTTAATTATAACCCAGGGTTAAATTTTGATCCGGTTTCCTTTTTCTTTTATTCAAAAGCATTTCTTCGAATAATTTGTTCTATTCCTTTTTAATGTATCCAATCGTCAAATTGTAGACGAAGAGAGTTAAACCTTTTAAGTATTGCTTTTATATCTTGATCCAAATTTCGCATTAACCCTGGGTTATCTTAACCCCGCTTTGAATAACCCGGCCAGAGGTGAATGCCTCAGAGGTCCCCACTTTGCAATTAGCTTCAAACTGAGCTGTGCAACGCCATTTCAGGCCAATGTAAATTATGCTTGTCAGTTCGATTCGTACAATCTATCATTATTGCTAAATGCAGCCCCTTATACGTGATTTAGCAGAGTCATAAAAAAACCCGTAAGACTAGACCTATGTAAAATTTCCCCCTTACCCTACCCTAGTATGTAGAAGTTTAAGTTTGAAGTTTATTGATCTTCGTAAGTTATTAAATAAATTGGATTAAATTAAAACATAATCATTACACATTATTAAACATCCTCTGCTCGCAATTAGCTTGGCTAATCGAGGCGGGCAAGGCAAAACATAAAGAAATTTAAAACTAGCAAGAAATTAAGGAAAAGAAAAGGAAGATAATTCTAGATAAATGACACAAGAAGATCGACTGCAGTTATTACAGATACAATGTTACAAAATATATAAACTTATTTTACATTTCTTGTCATCTTAGTTCATCTTGCCTAGTTTATCAATTAAAGTAGGTGTGTCAACATAAGTATCCTCCAATTCTGAAATACGTTTATAGATTTTCTTGAGTCACATGACTTTGTTGTTCCCGCGTGCTCTCTTGAAGTTTCAGTTGTTCTTTAAAGAAAATTTTCATCCTAATCAGCATTCCATTGTTTCAATCAATTCATTGTTTCAATCGTATTTCCCCTGAGCTTGAGGCTGAATACAAAGTCCTCCTCCCCTTGGCTTTTCAGTTTCGAGAAGTCAATTGGACAATATGCCTATTGAATATTAATGCATTTTTGAAAGTTGTGTGAAAGCTTGTGCTCCTTCGCTTTCGTTATTAACTAACAATTATAGTGATATGTATCGGCTGACAACACAGACGTAACAAACATGAAAAGGGGTGGGAGGAAGGGGGTGGTGCTCCTCGAGTGGCTTTCTAATCGCCCCTATCGATGCCGGTTCATCAAAGATTACTTACACTGTATAAGAATCTTCCTGTCAGCCCACTCCACCAGTCTGTTAGTCAGAGTCAAGCCAACCCGAAGCCGTGTATTGGGTGAAAATTCAGGGACATAGCACGAGATAACAGAATCCTTACAGATCCCCTGCTGGGTCTTTTTCGTTCCGTTTGCGGTCTGAAACCGGACAAAATACTGTAACCAATCTTGACAGGAAATACCACTGACTGTTAAGTGGATGTTTTGAGCCGGTGAAACCAATGAAGGGGTAACGTTTGATACTTTGAACGGTTCTGCAAAAATAAGCAAAAAAAAACTTCTTAAAACATACAAAATGAGCACTTGTTTTTTATACATGCTTCTCTTATTAATATTAATTTATGAAGAGAAAAAGCTATCACCACAGTGAAACTGATATTGATATAAAGTTAGCCTAGGAAAACAGCCGACATTTCGTGACGCCTGCCACAGGTTTTCACGCGAAATGACGACTGAGAAACGAGTGCAAAAATTCCAAGACGCGTCATTATCCGGATCTGGGTAGCGCTTCTGATTGGCTGAAAGTTTGCTTCAACCAATTAGAAGCACTACCCAGATCCCGATAGTGACGCGTCATCAGTATGGAATTTCTGTGCTCGTCTTGCAGACGTCATTTCGCGGGGAATCCAGTGGTGGCTTCGCGAAGTGTAGGCTGTTTTTCCGGGCTAATAGAAACTTCCGTAACATATATTTGTGAAGTTTAATGATGTTTTGCCATTATTGTTTCTTTGAGAAGCTATATCAAATCACTTGACAAAGCGTTTTATCCGATATCCAGAAATCACGTCGGTTAAAAAGAATAGTCGATTTCGCCTTGTTTTCTAACCCCCTTCTTCATGACCGGACAACAGATACGCCGGCTGCACCTCAAGTTTGATATATTATTCTTAGTAAGTCAAGTTGTTACACCTTTGTGTACAAGATCTACAAGACCAAAAAATTATGCGAAAACATTGTTACATAAAAGGGTTTCATAAAATGAGGTTGTGCGGACTTGGCTTGACCCCAAGTGCGACCTTAATTACTTAGACTCTACTAACCGTGCAAATAGAGCGGCTTTTTAGTTTTGAATAATTGTCCATCAACATCAAGAAAAAGAGGGACTCTGTCAGTATTTCTCATTGGTGGCGTCTCGCAGAAAATAAAACCATCCTCTTTCCTAGCCGGCACAGAAATGTCTTTAAATCTGCATTGAAGAGTGGTATTTGACGTCACATTCAGTTCCACACTGGTTTTAAGTGTTAGTGTTGTAATGGCTCTTATGGGAACAACCGCTGGCTGAAATGCTTGTATTTCCAAGGAGGAAGCTACGTAGATAGAGGGAAAAATACATTACGCACAGATATATTTAAAGTCAATTTTACCCCGTTACACACAAAATACGAAAGCCCTCTGTAAATTGAGGGAAATATATTGGGAAAGTCAAAAATGGTTTTAAAAGTTAACAATCGAAACAATAACTGAATATCGTAATGCAAAACTCCTATCATCAACAAAAATCACGCCCGAATCCTTTCCTCATTCCTTCGTGCGTGCTGTGTGACTTCTTCCTCTGTGATCATGTTGGGCTGAAGCGGTTTCTTAACGGAGTTGATGCCCCACCCTTTCTAGGTTTTAACGTGCTATGTAACCAGAGGAACACATTTTTTACGCTCTTAGCTCCACTCGATTTTAAGTCATATAGGCATTTACTGGTTGAACCACGAATTAAAAGTTTGGCTTAAATTAAAAAAGGGGTTTATTTTAGAAAAATAACTGTACGTGTTACGCAGACTCTTTTATAGCACAGCACAGTGTTTTGCTGGCAAGGTACAGAACGTACATTGATGCAGCTAAAGATCGATACCCAGCCAAGGCTTCTTGGCAACCGGTAGGCATTAAGTTATCAGCAGCGGATTTAGCCATGAAAATGCTGTTGATATGTCGAATCTTTTTTCCCAGTAAAACTACTTCAATCCGATTTAATCCCTATTCATTGCGATATGAAAAGCGGACAGGTTAAATTTTAGAAAAGATATCTTGCGCCTTCTATGTTCTACGCGTCGGCATCTTTCTTTGGGCCAACAGTGACCACTTATTTGCGTGGTCTGCAGAGATTATGTTGGCAAAATCAATATTATTCAGCGGACTTGAAAAGGTAGTGAATCAAAGACCGATGCATTCCACATTCTAGGAATTGTGCTTTGGCTAACAATCTAACCCTCGTCTCCTATTTTTCTCATTTAATTGATTTACTTTTTCTTTTCATTACACCGGTTTTAATAGAGGGTCATTGATAGCCTTCCTGATCTGAGTTTATTTCGAAGTCAATCAGTGTTAAAGTTTCTTTGCATGAAGTTGCAGAAATATTTCTTCCGTTGATTTAACTCAATGGTACTACGCATGCGTCAAGCTACTTTCTTTTAAGATGTGTCCTCTAGGCCAGGAGTTTGGGACTCACAGAATGATTGCTCAGTAGGCGAAACTCGAGTAACAACTCTGTATTCGTACTGTGAGATTCGATTTGTGAACGATACTGCTACGACAGCTAGCTTAGGCACACTATTGATCTCTGACTCCAGTTTTCCTCACGCTTTGTATGTGATATGCTGTGTTTGTTTTTCGTATTTATCAACTCAAACATCAAACATCCTATGTTTGTCTCACAGAGGTATCATAAACAGCGTAGTCCCCCCGGCTACCAATGGAACGCTCAAATTAAAGCTGAAAGCTTTCGCCAGTAAGTCCAGAGACTTATGCCCATTTTACATCTTTGCTCAGTCCTGGTCTGCCCCCAAAGTCAAACAATAAAACACGAGGGTTTGTACACAAGTGTGAAAAGTACACTCACATTCCTCAGAGCCGCACAATTTCAAGACCATCAGAAAGACGAAGGAAGCTCTCCTCCAACAAAGCGTGGATCTTCTTGTTCCAATCGAGGGCATGCTACAGAATACTTCCTGAAAATGTGGCCAAGCAGTACAAACAGCCGTACAAAACCTAGTTGGAGGTATGAGAAAAATGATCAGTGAAACGATTGACGTCCTTCTGCGTATGGCGTGCCATTGACACTGTAGTCAGTTTGAGATAACGTCACCCTGATGACCTCGTTTCAGCGTTCTGAAACGTTTCTGTGGATCATCTAAATGGATACTGAAATAACATAAAGCACGTAAACAGGATTAGAACTAACAAAAAGCTAAGTCATGAATTTAGTTGTCCGGGCTACGGTCGATTGAATACCCAAACACAATGACAGCTCTGAGAGCAGATTATCGGAGAGAAACGACAGAACTTCAACCCCTTGTTAAGTTTGTGAAGACAGAGTCTCGGCTGCAATGTTGGCTTTAAGAAAATGACTCTTTTGGTTTACATACTTTGCTTGGTAAGTTTTAACTATCTAGAACAATACATAATGTTTATAACCTCGACAGGACGCGAACGGAAAGGTAGGAAACGGCAGGTGGAGAGCGTAACGCGTCTATCTAATTTTCATCCGATGCGTAGCCCGACACCTACGAAAGGGTAACTCAAGCTAAAAACGATTTTCAAAGTTATCGCAGAAGAGAAACAGCAGCTAGTGCAGGAAAAAGATGCAGATGATAGGAAAGTACTTTGTAAATCATTCATTCAGTGGTT